AAGGCTTTTATAGCTTGCTAGGGTGCGAGTGCGCTGGCCTGTTGGTTAAGATCAAGTGTGGTATCATTTTGCTAGCCAGTATTTTCTATTATTAAAGGACCATCTTGCCTTTGAATGGGGGGATCCAGTGAATAGTCGGTTGTTTTAACTTCCTGCTACTGTGGTCCCTTCCAGTCACCATATGGGAAATGCCAGCGGCCTGTTAGCAAGAGCGGGTGTTAAGTTGATAGGCTGTGTATGTTCAGATCAGGCCCTTTGACCAAAGCAAATGCATTCAGTGGGAAGTGATGTTCAGCATGGTTTCTGGGGCATTCAGACGGCTTCTCTCATTAAGCTGGTCCAGCATCTTAATGATCTGGGGCATGTCGGTTCTTATCGGATGTGAACATATGGCTTTCCAAAGGCTTACAGAACGCAGAGCAGAGCAAAAAGATCTGAAGTTTTGATTCAAAACCTCTTTTCTTGGCCCAAACCTACTTCAGAGACCACAAAACTCCAGCTAAGACATAGTGAGATGGTAATGGGACATAATGCTTGAGAAGTTCAAAGCTCAGGTAGAAAAAGGTCGGTCAATGTTTCTGGGGATGACAGGAATAGCTTATCAGTGGGTGACGTGGCGTTCTCTGAACATATTACAGCCACTCTGGGAATACAACCCGGCAATTCAGCCTGCCTCTTTCTTCCACCAGGCTTTGGTTGTTTCATGGCTATAATATTATATGACAAGACACAGTCAAGTGACCTGTTCTGGGTCCCTGAATACCAGGTTTGACGCATTACCTCCTTCCTTAATTCTCCCATTGATTTTTGTACTTGCAAGCAGGCCATAAAGTGACGTTTATCATGATTACCTCTTTGCAGGGTGCAAATGCATATGAAGGGAGAGCAGGGATGCTGGGGCGAATACACAGTATAATGTGTTGTATCCAGAGTCCCCAAATAATTCACAAGCTCACTTGGGATTTGAGAGAAAAAAGAAAAAAAACACCAGTGTTTTTGCAGGGATGCAAGCAAAAGGCACATACTGATACCTCAATTTATATTTGTTTCAGTGCTTCAAGGGGCCATGTATGGAGCTGAAATAATACAACATCTGTCTCCTCATGGTATTTTAGTTCTTGGATAATGGAAATACCATGAAAGAATTACATCTCAAATTATTTCAGCCTCATAAATGGATCCTTGAGGCGTTTAAACATCCTGGAAAAGAGAAATACAAATAAGAAGATCATTATTTTAAGTGCTGGCGGGGCTAGATATTTGGGCTTATTTGCAGCCCTGTAGGACCAGAATGCACCACTCAAACCACCAATATAGAGTTTCCTAAAGAATCGGCGCACTTATCTTTTACATTAAATAAAAGAAAGAAGAATTCTGGGTAACCTGAAACAAATTAACACCTGCATCAACCAGGGATTAGAAAAGTAGTGGTGGAAATATTTTTGATGGCAATTCTAAAAAAACCCCCAAACCAACCCAAAAGCAGAACTGGAAGCAAACCCCATTGCCTTGCTTGTGGAATTGATCCTAAAAAAACGAAGTTCTGCCGTACTTGACTATTATTTTAATCCCCCGCCAGATATACTCCGTGCATGGTGGCTGTCATGTTGTCAGGTGGTTTTGCCTATTGCTTTATCTTTTAGTGTATCCCTACTCTTCCGGGCCCTGGCCAGAACTGAAACCATTGTGCTGACTACATTGCTGCTGATGTCTCCTGGCTATCTCACTATCAGCTTAAATATAACATGGTCCAGGGCCCAATTCTGTATCTTGCAAATTTGTGGAGTCACTCTTTGCTGTGTGCACCTTTTCCGAGGGATGGACACGTTCCACTTGGTTCATATTCCATGCTCCTTCTGAAAGGGCCTGCTTTATGTGTCAGAGAAATGTGGGCAAGGCTGTCTCTGGCTGCTTGTAGACGACACAAGGGTTTAATTCTCATGAAATTGAAGCGGTGGTTTTTTAAAAACACCTTCCCCCCCACAGTGGCTTGGGCAGTCCCAGGGGTCACCGCAGCCATGGAGGGAAGCACCGGGCCCCTGCGCAGCCCAGGAAGGCATGCAGGCAGGCTCCAGGGGGAGAAAAAAAGAAAGATCAGGCTTGCTGCTTTTTTTCCCCCTTCCATGGAGCCTGCCTTCCCAGGCTGCTGCCGGCCTGCCTGCATGGTCTGCCTGTGCAGCCCCTGAGCCACGCACAGCCCGGTGCTTCCCTCTGCGGCTGTAGGGTAGGAAACTAAAACTCCTTGGATGTGTTTTACTTTGCAGCACCCCTAAGTCATTTGCTGCGTCCTAAAGTCATTTAAGGTGCATTACGCTGCTGAACGTGCTGCAGCAGCTGGAATTAATGTGCACTATGCTATCGAATGTGCAAACAGCAATGCCATTAAAGCAGTGCAAAGGGCATTTAGCCCGCTTTAAACTCTCTTTAAAGTGTTGTCTACAAACGGCCTCTAATTTCTACATCTGACCTCAGGCAGGGTCACTTGAGAGTGATGTACAAAGTGTTAGGCCTCCTTCCAGGGCTTTAGTGCTCCAAGAGTATTTTCCTGGCTTCCCCACAGCTGACCGGCATAAGTGCTGATTTTAGCCTTCTCTCTTTACCTTAGTTGCCACATAGCAAAAACTACCCCGTCTTTTTAAAGCACACCTACTTGAACTCAGCTGGATTTCCTGAGCCAGTAGGTGCCACAGGTTTAAGTACACACTGCAGAAATAAATATTTTCTTTTATTTATCACAAGCGTGCTGGGTTTTAATCCTGAGTGGAGGTGAACCCCTCCCTGCCAGAGGTAATGAAGCAGAAAGGAGAGCAGTAACACATACGTGTTAGACAGCACTTTTCTTCAGTAACTCCCCAAGTGTTTTACAAAGGAGGTCAGAATGCTTATTTCCACTTTACAGAAGGGGAAACCGAGGCATCGAGTGGTAAAGTGACTTGCCCAAGGTCACCCGAAAGACTAAGGGGCAGAGCCAGGAACAGAATCATGTTCCTTCTGTTTTACAGAGTAGTTAATTTTTTAACACATCCTTCATGATCTCATACGCCTGGAGAAAAACTCTCACTTATTCTTCTCCTTTCCAGATTACAGGCTCAATTGTGACTTTAAACTCAGCCCTAAATTAAAGGTGGCTGCATCGGCTGCCCCTTTCCCCGGTATAATCCCACGAAGCATAGATACTCCTCTCAGGGTGCAGTACTTTTGCTTCCTCCATGCTCTGTGAGAGAGGAAGTACTGTATTTTCTCACATAACAGCACCCCAGGTAAGACCTGCACCTTGTTTTGGGGAAGCCAAAATGAAGAAATACAGCAGGGACAGAGCCTCATCTTCGTCTCACTTACCCCCCCTTTCCTGCTCAGGCAAAAGCCACAGTTTTAACCCTTTGCAGCTGAACTGCCAGCAGCTCTTGGCTGCTCTGCCAATAGCTGAAACTTTAGCTGCTGCTGAAGACTGGATCCAATGGGCAGAGGAAAATAGAACCAAAAGCAGTCTGCAGTGCTGTGAAATAGGAGCAGGGAGACCAGGAGCAGCTAAATTACAAATTCTTCAGCAAGATTGCCAAAGAAAGGCTACCTTGATTGAAGGAAATGCCATGACCTTTATAAAGGAGAGGTGTTGTTAACACATTTTGAGTGAAGAGCAATTAGTAGAAATCAAGTAGATTCTAATGACCCATGAAATTAAGCGATTCCTTTTCCTCTGCCTGAATAGAAATGCCACAGCTGTTCTTCTAGTTAGAAATATCAGCTTTCCTGCTGAAGACATGCACTCCAAACTTGGAACAGGCTGACTCTGAGGGAAAGGCTGTCAGTGGTGTGCATGGAAATATGGTAATTTGCTGCTGGCCTTCAGCGGTTAGCTCTGTGTTGTCTAATAAGTACTGGCACATATATGGAGCCTGCTTATTCCTACATGACTGGACTGGACTCAAGGTCTGAAAAGCCGGTCCAGATCTCTAAGGGCTTCTGTTCACTGTTAAAGTGAACTCAGGCTGTTGCCAGGATGACCTTCTTGACCCTGCTCCTGTCCCCATACAGAGCAATCTGGCCTGAACGTGGGGTACTTCACATGCCGACTAGCTGGCTTGGCCAGGAATACTGGCTAAAGTACAAATGCTGTTTATACCCTGGGTAAATAATTTGCCTTGAGATGTATCCTGAACCGTTCACATATTGATAATCTTCCAATGCCATCACGCACCATATATCAGGAAAGACAAACAATTCTTCCCACGGTCTACTAGAAAAGAAGCTCATTTTATTGAAACATAGAAAATGATGGGATATACCCCAGAAGTCCTTGTTACACATTAATTTTGGGTGGCTCCTGGAGCTCTTAACCCCTGGACTGTCCACATGTTAACACCTTTCAAGTGGCTTAAAGCACTTATTAAGCAACTCAAAGTTACGCCACTCCAAGGCAGGATTATCTCTTGATCCGCATAACCCCAATTCTGCCCCATAAAGGTGTAGCCACTCCCCACCGATGTGCTGCTTAAATTGAAGGTGTGATTGCAAACTAGCACTAAGGTGATCAATATTTGTGTGGCTCACAGCGCAATGAGTAACAAAGTCACAAAGTGTCGTAGGTAAGTGCCGCGCTAGTGTGGGCACGACTGAGCCCAGGCAAGTGCTCAGACCTGGGTACTGACCAGCCAAGAGAACTCTGAAATGCCCTGCGAGGAATTGCTCCAGTACCATATGAACAAATCTCAAATGAGATCTAATTAAACTCGTTAATTCATCAAATCTTAGACACCTTCTTTGCTAATTTTACTGTCTTTTTAAGGATATTTTTAGAACTGGTCAAAATGTAGAGGCAAAGTATTTTTTTTCCTTTGAATTGTCAAAAATGATAGTTACAAAAGAGGAAGCAATTCCAGAGACGATCCAAATGTCGACACTCAAATATGACAGGCTAAACTGGCTCATGAAAGTACGATTTCTGAATTCTCTGAAATGAATCCAACGCTCGGCAAAACAAAATCACGCAGACCAAAGTATTTTTGGAGGCAATGTTTACCTTCAGAATGCAGCAATAAAAATAAAAAAAAAGCCACAAATATCTAAAATCTTGAGTTGAGAATGTACAAAACAAAAGTAATTGTAAAAAGAAAAAAAATGCTTTACAAAGTTTGAAAATGTTTTTAAACGTTAAACACTTAAGAAAGTTTGGAGTCTAAGATACAGTTTTGTATATAAGGAATAATAAATTACAAGTCTAAAAAAAGAAAGAAAGGAAAGCAAAAAACCTTCTATTTCTTTTGGCGTATTTAATCCAGTCTTAACCACAGCATTGTTCTTTATGTCCTTTTAAGGGGAATGATACTGATTAATCTGGAAATCCTGATTTAAACAGTTTTAGGTAGCATTAAATCCTTTCCCTGTATACATTTCTGCTTAGCACACAAACACTTTGAGAGTGTTCTTTTTTTTTTAGCAAATAAGAGAAAACTAATCCAACCCACCCTCAACCTGTATGCATGTGTAGTATGTGGAATAACATATGCTTATTGGGAGATCATCACTGATATCGGGAAGACAAGGGCACGGCGGGATAAACTAGTCTGCTTCCAATGAGTGGCTCCTTTAGCTGGCTCTAATTGTCCTGTCTTCTACCTGTGTTCAGGGAGGCCACAGATGCTCCTGGAAATACTGTTCAGAAGGGAACACACCACCATTAACAATTCGCTAATTTTAACACTCGTGTTTCTATCCGAGTGCCAGGTCCTCGGTTGCAGGTTGATGCTGAGTCTGTAGGGGTGCTCAGACGGATGCCGTTTGTCCCAAAAACTAAATCCAGATGCCCCTCCCATACACAAACACTAAGATAACGTCCTTGCATGGCTCATAAGACTTGGAAAGTTCCTGCCTGTGTGATGTATTTGTTGGGTGTGTCGTACACAGTTGGCACCTCCGGCTATTCCAGCATGCCTATTTTTTTGGTTTGGAGTTACCAAAAGTGACGAAGACCACTCCGGGGTCCTGAAGGCTGCTGTTGGAGTGAAATTCTTCCCCCGGGCTGCGCAGATACCTCCGTAGCAGAGGCGAGGCAGTGACCTCATAGTGGGGGGGAGAGCCCACGTCGCACATGGTGGAAGTTTGGGTCTCCGCTTGCTTGGTGACAGTGGTGGACGAAGTGATGATTTTGTTTCCAAACTGGTCCACCTCCTCGTACTGCTCCGTCACGGTCCTGGTGGCTCCGTAGAGCTTGGATCCATTCGGCCCGGTCTGCAGTTCCAAGATGCTCTTCTGCCTTTTGGGGTTTTGTGGGCTGGAGACAATCAGGGGAGCCTGAGGACTGAAATCAGAAAGGCCTCCCTTGAGTGCACCCTGGCAGCTGCCTTTGGATGTGTCCAGTGGGCACTTTTCTCTGTCACTGGTGCTGCTACTGCTCTGGTGCTCTGGGTTGCCAAGACAGTGCTGCCTAATTGAACTCATTCCTGCCTTCATCTGGCTGGGCTCCTGTTCGTTCTCCGCTGGAGCTAGGTCGCATCTGCCTGCCCCCCCTGATTTGTGGACTAATGAGCTAGAAAAGGGGTCCCTTTTGTCTTGGGTGTCAGGGAGGTCCGGAGAGGGCACATCCCAGGCAGCATGCGCTGCCCTGGGAGACTCTGCAGGCTTTCTGGCAGCAGATGCGATGGAGATATAGGAAGGAGAGGAGGGGGAACTCACACAGGGCTGAACCAAGCTGGGGACCGCTAACTCGGCCTTGGACGCCTCGGTCTTTTCTGTCGCCTTTGCACTTCCTGCCGAGGCTGCATTCTGTGTCTCCTGTCCTGCTTTTTCTTGCCTGGATTTGCTGGACACGATGCTGATCTTGCGGATGTTGTTGCTAGTAGCGGGGCCCTGGGTGTTCCCCAGGGACTCCTTGAAGAGGCCGGAGAGCCCAGCTATGTCCGATTCGGACTTCAGACTGGAGACGGAGTAGAGCGCTTTCCTGATGGCCTCCTCGATGTCCAGCAGCCTGGCGAGCGTCTGCTCCTTCAGGTGGATGATCTCAGTGCTCACTCTCTCCAGGTCTTCGAAAGCCAGCTCCACCGAGGAGACGCTGTCAGAGTCCTCCTTTGCTGCCGGCTCGACCTTCTCGGCCTTGTGCTGCGGCAGCTGCTTCGGTGGGCGAGACTTGTGCCGAACCACCCATTCGGGGACGTCCTCAAAGAAACTCCTCAGGGCCTTCACGTCCACCTTGCACGTCTCCTCCTCGAACTCCCTCACCCGCGTCAGGATCTCCTGCAGCTCCTCCTGCCGCCGCAGGTTCTCAAAGATCTCCATGGCCTCCTTCACGTTGCCCTTCATGATCTCCTCCTTGTGAACGGACAGCCGCTTGCGCCGTTCAGCCTCCGTTTCCCGGCCCGGCTTCCCTCGCATGACCACCACCGGCTTCTCCTCTGCAAGCGGCTCCGTCTCCACTTCACGTGGTCTCGGCCGGCTGCTGTCCACCTGCTGTTGCTCGGTCACCCGCTGATGGGCAAAGGCGGATTTCCCTTCTGTTCTCTTCTGACTGGTTTTCCGGATCCGGCTCTGATTGTCCCACGACTTGTAGGTATTAGGCACACTTGCACTTTCTGCCTTGGGGGAGGCAGCTCCTTTCCTTGCAAGAGTGGCTTGACCGTTAGGAGATGTATTTGGCTTACTCTGACCTTCGGAGTGAGCAAGAGCTGCTGGAGATCCACCCAGACAGCCTGGTTTGGATGGGAATATGCACTCGTTCTCCAGGCTGCAAGCGTCCATGCAGCCCTGAGCGCCCTTCAGGACGGCTGCTTTCTCGTTTGTCTGCTCTGACTCGGAAACGGGCACTTCATTGTGGAGTGGCTCTGATGTCTTCGAATGTGTGGACTCCACCTTGCCCTGTTCTTCCTTGCTTGCCTTATACCTTTCCTCTGCTATCTGAAGAGGTGTTTGAGCAGTGTCTTTAGGTGTTGCTGTCTCACGGCTCCGGTCCTTTGCCTCGGCAGTGCTGACTACTGGTGACGGCGGAGTACAGAGTTTTGTCGGCTGTTCCCCACAACCTGTTTGCTCTGATACCGCTGCATCGCATGAGCCCTTTGCCTCATCCATGGGTGGTCTGCTTGGCTTGCCTAGGCCTGGGGGTTTAGGAGGCCGCGGGGGTGGAACTGGCTTGGCCAACCTCCCTTTGCTGTTGCTATCATGGTGTGAACGTGCCTCTTCCAAGAGACGCTCGGGTTTTGGAGGTGGGACTGGTTTCTTCCGTGGTGGGGCAGTAATTTGTGGTTTGGGGAGAGTCTCTGGCTTGCCTGGGGGGCTCTGATCACTGGCTTTGGTGGAGATGGGAGCAAGGGGCTGTGGCAGAGAGCTGTGTGTGGGTGCAGGACCTTGCAGGCCGTCGTCCTTGGTGGCTGGTGGTAGAGGGGCTGCTTCTGGTGCTTTGGTTGAGGGTGGGCAACACTCTGCTTTCATCACAGCAGCTGGAGGAGGAGGAGGAGGAAAGTCAGTATCTGGCTGTGACCCCGAAGCCACTCCCGCTGCCTGGTTACTAACCGCAGGAGCCTCATTTTTCTTTTTACATGTGGTATACGACTGCCCTGCATTTCTGTATATCATAGCAGCTTTAAAATCCCCTTTGGAGACATTAACATTAGACTTTTCCAGTGACTGAAGCGTGGCCTTTAAGTTACCTCGAACAACATCCTCCTTCTCTACCGGTCTCTGTTCTGCCGCAGCACTTTGCAGTGCTCTGATAGCTGTCTGTACATCACCTCTGATCATAACATCTTGCTCTCTTTCTTCTTGCACTGCTTGCTCTTTGTAATCAGACTCAAGGAAAGGATTTACATAGGTTTTCACTGGCTTGGCAGTATAAAGGCCATCCTTAATGCTAACATCTGCACTAGGCATAACTTGACTTTCCTGGCTCAACTGCTGTCCTCCCTGTACTTCCTCCGAAGCACTGACCTTTTTGTGGGACGTCACGCTCTTCTGTGACATGCTTGACTGGGACTTGGAGGCCTTGTGGACTTTGGTGGTGGTGGTGGTGGTGGCACTGCGAGCTTGACATTGCTGGGTGGCGGTACAGTCCTGCTTGCGTACCGTTGCCTGGAGGGTCACTTCCTTCTGCGTGTTGATGGCCTGCTGCTTGGAGGCCACGTGGATTTCCTCACCGCTCTTGTGCAGCTTACTCTGGACCTGGTGCTGAATGCTTTTCGCCTCGGCGGTGGCCAGCCTCAGACTCTGCATGGCAGCCTGAAGATCACTTCCAAGAGCGTGCTCTTGCCCGTCTCCTGTTGTTGGGCTGGGCTGCCCCACCACCAGACACTGGCTTGCCTTGGCCGCCTCATCTCTCCGAGCCATCGCTTCAGCAGAGGCTTCTTCCTGCAGCGCAATCTTGGCTCCCTCCATGACCGACTCTTCCTTCTCCACCTTCTTGCTACCGTCCTTACTCTTTCGAAGTGACTTGATGGTCACCTTAAGTTCCCCACGCTTAGTATCTTTCTTTTCCACCACTGTGGGCAGGCTTAGGGGCTTCCCAAGACACTGCGCAGTGGAGCTTGCAGCACCTGCATCCGTTGCTTTTCTCTCTAACGTGCCCTCTTTACTTACTCCTTCACACATGAGCACTTTCGTAGCCCCCTTCACATTCCCTGTGACAACATCTGCAATCGCTTTCTCTACTCGTTCTTCTTGCAAGACGTGTGTCTTAGCCCCCTGTGTGTCTCTTGGGATACTTTCAGCTGGCTCCTGTTCAGCTTGGGTTGGGACAAGAGACTCAAACTCTGATTCCTGCTGCAGGGTCTTTAGATAGTCCAGGTTTCCCTTCTCAATGCAACTGGTGTACAGCTGGACGTTTCCCTTCTCATTATCTTCCCGTCTGATGGTCGCTGCTGTCTTCTGCTCTTGTGAGGAAGCCAGCAGGTTTCCGATGGTTGACTTCACATCCCCTTTGACAACCTCCTGCTGAACAGAGTGGCGCAGGAGGGAGTAGATGGTCATCTTCCTTGACCCCGTCTTCATCTCTTGGATGACCATTCCCTTTTTGATGGAGGTGTCTTGGCTAGGGAGGTCATGGAGAACCTTTGTCACATCGTCACTCAAGTCCTCTGTGCTTTTATGGGCTTTGCTTGGATCCAATAGCTGCAGTGGGCTGACTTTGATCTTGCCCTCCTTATCCTCCTCCACCAGCACCCCCTGGGCCTCTACTTTGGTCTGGTACAGCAGCTGCAAGATGATCCTTTGCAAATTGCCTTTCACAGTCTCTTCTTTTTGGATCTCTGGAGTGCCCGGGCTGCTGAGCTGGTACTTTGCCATCCTCACGCTCTCTGCATCATTGGCTTCTATGAGGATCCCACCATGCTGGATGGCTTGGCAGGTGCAGAGGGTTTGCAAAGTTTCCCTCACAGTTCGCTCTCTCACCTCCGTTTCTGCTCCGTGAATAGTAGCGCTGACTTTGTCCAAGGGGGTCGTCTCAAATAGCCATGTTGTGCTCTTCACATCAGCACGTGGGATAGCTTCTGGGGCATCTGGGCGGGCAGAGACTTCTGAGTCTTTGAGGCTATCCATGGGCTGAGTTTCGAAGAGCCAGGTGCAGCGCTTGACATCCCCTTTCTGACTGTCTTCTCTCTGCACAGTGCTGATAGTGCTGCCGTCAGACTCTCCCTTCAGGGAATCGATGGGCTGGTTCTCAAAGAGCCAGGTGGAGGTCCTCACGTCACCTTGCTGGACATCACTCATGCTGACCATCCGCACGTACTTCTTTTGGCTCGCTTGCTGAGACTCAAAGAGCTGCTTGTTGGACTGGACATCTCCTTTCTGCACGTCATCGACTGTCCTGACCACGGGTCGCTTCCCACAGGAGAAGGAATCGAGGGGCTCTGTCTCAAACCTCCACCGGGCAGCCTGGATGTCCCCTTTCTTGATGTCCTCCTGGGTGACAGCCCGGATAACAAACACTTCCTCTTCCTTCTTGATCTGGTTCAGTGGCTTGGTTTCAAACAGCCACCGGGCACCTTTCACATCACCTTTCATGATCTCCTCCTTCTTCACTGATGTGACTTCATGGTAGTCCCCATCCTTGTCCTGAATGGCATACAATGGCTGGTTCTCAAACAGCATGGTGCGGGACTTGACACTCGCTTTGCTCATAGTCTCCTGCTGGATCCTCTTGATCTCCGTTTCGTCCACCTCGTCATGGATCTGGTTGAGGGAGTAGGTCTCAAAAACGAACCTCTTGCCTCCCACATCTCCGCCCTTGATATCCTTCTCTGGAGGGATTTCCTGGATGCCCTCGGTGTTGTCCTTTATAGCATCCATTGGGCAGTTCTCAAAGAGCCAGGTGAACTTGTGCACTGATCCAGCCTCGATGTTCTCAGCTGTGGGCACATCGCTCTTTTTCACCGTGGCAGTCGGTGCATCCGCTGTGTACAAGGGCTTGGTTTCAAAGAACTCCTTCACCCTGGACACTTCCCCGGACTGTATCTCCACACGGCTCGAATACCTGACAGGCTTCTTTGAGTCACGCTCGCTGGAGGCATCGCTGACCAGGGGCTCAGTCTCAAACAGGTGGCTAACAGTTTTGACGTCAACCCCTTGTAAGTCATCCTGGCAGTATGCTTTGCTGACCTGCAGATACTGTTCCTCCTGGCCTTTCAGGGAGTCCAGGGATTGGGTCTCAAACATCCATGTGTACGACTTGACATTGGCCTGTGGTACAGAGCCGTCTTCTTCCTGCTTCTTCTCTGTTTTCTCGTACAGCGTGTCTATCGGCTGCGTCTCGAATAGCCACCTGCAGGTCTTCACGTCGCCCTTCTGGGACACCTCCCTTTTCACCGAGGAGTGCTCTTCTCCTTGGTTCACCTGGGTGTGGATGACATCCATGGGCTGGGTTTCAAAGAGCCACTTGGCTGTTTTGACATCCCCAGCCATCACCTCCTGCTTGGTGATCCCTCTAATGATGTCCACCTTCTGGGTGCTTTCATCAAACTGGTCCAGAGGTCTGGTTTCAAACATCCATTTGTAGTTCTTGACATCACCGCTTATGACTTGCTCTCTGCTGACGGAGGTGATCTGGTGGAAATTGCCCAAGCTGTCCTTGATAGCATACAGAGGGGTTGTCTCAAACAGCACCTGGGTGGCTTTGACGTTCCCAGCCGGGATCTCCTCTTTCTCTTTGGTGACAGGTTCAGCATCAGCCTGCTTAATGCTGTCTAAAGGGAGAGTCTCAAATAAGGTTTTGAACGATTTCACGTCTCCTTTCACCACCTCTTGTACATTGGTGGCGGAGACCTCTTCTGAGGATGCCTTGGAGATGCTACCCAGGGGACAGGTCTCAAAGATGTGCTTCCTCTGCTTCACATCTCCCCTCTCCTCTTCTGAAAGGTTCACTTTCTTTAAATGCCCCACTTCAAAATTATCTTTCAGGGTTTCCATGGGCTGGGTTTCAAATAGCCAGAGTGTTGATTTCACGTCACCGCCAACAACTTCTTCTTTGGCCGGACCACTGTCGGAGACTTCTCCTTTGAGAGAAGCAAGGGCCTGAGTCTCAAAGAGCAGTCTCTGCTTACTGACATCCGTCCCTGGGACAAAATCCGTGGATGCTTTGAAATCCTCTTCTTCCACTGTCAGCTCTTGGATGGCATGTAGAGGCTGAGTTTCAAATATCCACCTTGCTCCACTGACATCTGGCTTTCCTGCCTCCTCTAATGAAATCCCCCGGATAATTTGCACTTTAGAGGTGTCCTTATTGATGGTATCCAGTGGCTGAGTCTCAAATAGCCAGCGAGCCGTCCTGACGGCATTACTCTGGATTTCTTCTCTGCAAACAGACTTGATCTCGTGAATGTTCCCAGTTTTGTCCCTGATCGCGCAGAGTGGTTCAGTCTGGAAGAGCTTGATGGTTTTTTTGACGTCACCTTTCTGCTCCTGCATTTCTGACTTGAGCTGCAGGATACTCTGCTCCTCCATGGAGTAGCAACGTCCCAGGGCATCCAAGGAGTGCGTTTCAAAGAGCTGCGCAGCACCTTTCACATCTCCTTTTTGAACAGGCTCCTTGAGGACTGCTTCCTGCACGTCTGCCTCTTCGGTGTACAGTTTGTTTAACGAGTCCAGTGGCTGGGTTTCAAACAGCCATCGGGCGGTCCGCACGTCCCCTTTAGCCTGGCCTGTCTCTGCTACTTTGATGGATGCACATGCCTTGTCCCCACTGAGTGCCTGACTCTCAAACCTCATGGATGTACTTTTCACGTCCCCGCTCCTCATCTCCTCGTCAGCTAGCTTCTTGGTGCCCTCATGATCCCCTATAGAGTCCAGGGTCCAGTTCTCAAAGATCCAGCGCATGGACTGGACGTCGCCAGGGGGTACTGTGTCCTGATTCACTGAAGCCTGTGTGTTGGGATCTTCAGCGTGGAGCATTTCTGCCAGGTCTTCTGTCACAGCTTCCTCCAGGTTCTTCCTCAGCTCAGGATGCATGTGCCTGTACAGCCTCTTCAGCTCATTCACTTGACGCTGCTGGTAAAACTTGGATAAGGACTCCTTCGTAGGAGGTGGAGGTAGGGGGCTTGGATCTTGGCTCCCCATGGGGGAAGCAGAAACCTGAAGGGTGTCTTGGGTGGCGGGAGGAGGGAAGCCCTCTTCTGTTTTCTTGCCATTCACCTTAGCTGACTTCTGGCTCTGAGCCTCTGCCATCTTTAGGGAAACAGTTTAAATGTCAGCATCGTCTCTCCCCATTCAGACCGGTGGCCATTAGTAGTGACAACAGCAAAAAAAAACAAATAAAAAAGCTGGGAAAACCCATGCACCTGCTGAATATTAATGCCATGTCTTGGCTTCAACAGCACACAACACTCAAAAGCATCACACCGCTGCAAACGCTTACATGGTTAAATAGGTTCGCAAAGCAATACATGTGTCAAGCAAAGTCTCTTCATCCAGGCTTTTAGACACTAAAATTCCCATGGTTAAATTCAGCTAAAGTGCAACAGAGGTACTCAGTTTGGGCAATATTAGCAAGGAAGGACAACCACTGGAATAATATAAACAGGACCATATCAAATAGCAGCAAGCAGGGAGTTAACACCCCATTGAGTTATCTCCCAGATGTGCAGGGTGGTGTCTGCATGGCATCTGGGGAATGAAGGCCGTGTCAGGAATTCAAAGAAAGCCTGTGCAGTCCCCTGGTAATCCAATGGGAGAGGACCCACTGACTGGGCAACACTCAGCCACTGTGATAACGAAGACCACATATGTATATAGCCAGGTGGGGCCTACTAGCTAGTGATGATCCCAGCAATGTCCTAACCAGTACAATCAGAGCTGCTGACTCTTTGCAAGCATCTAGTGTTATATTTGGAAGACTTCTTATTTTTTTTGGCTTGAGGTCAGTTATGTGCAATATAACTCCATTCTGTTAAACATAAATAGTTGCAGTTTAAAACCAAATCTGGGCTGAACATTAGTAATAAAGCAACAAAAGAAACCCCGCGGCCATTACATTTCACAGCAAATTGCAGAAAGGGTGCAGCTTCATGTGAAACAACGTATTTTTAAGTGACCAGACCATTTTAATGCAAGGTTATTTCAAACACAGCAAACAACTTGGAAATTAGATCACTGGGGAGTCAGACCTCCGTATTCAGCATGACACCATTACTCATTGCCATGTGCTAGGTGTTAAATCACACTGTGTGCAAGTACACAAATATTTGGTTAGGTGACCACACAAGTTTTTAGCATTTCATACCTTGCTTGCTTTCTGGCTGTCAGGAGAACGAATGATGCTAGCCTTTGTGGTATGCTGAAAAAAGGCACAAACGGCAATTAAACATAATGATATATACTAACATATGTCCTGTGTGGTCTTACATTGGGTGTCTTATTTTAGAGTTACTTTTTCAGACAGAAAACCTGAAAGAAGCCATTAAAATTAAAACCCAAAGATTCTTCTGAGGACAAGTCGAACACTGAAAATAACTTATCCTTTTGGTTCCTTGGGATGTCTCTAAAATGGAAAAATGATTCATTTTCAGGTTGACCTAAAATGGAAATGTTTTAAAAGTTTTGGGAAACAAAAAAAAAGGTGTTTCAGCTTGAATTAAATACTGCCTCCCCCC